CCATCCATCCATCCATCCATCCATCCATCCATCCATCCATCCATCCATCCATCCATCCATCCATCCATCCACTCAGACATCCATCCATCCATCCACTCAGACATCCATCCATCCATCCATCCATCCATCCATCCATCCATCCATCCATCCATCCCAAGTGTGATGCACTATTCTGAGTACTTCACAACAAGCAGAATAACAGATAGATAAGAAAGCGGGTGAAACATCCGTCCATCCGGCATGAGAACAGGGTTTCTGTGGTGGGGACCGTGTCCAGGGCTCTGGCCACTGACTGGCTGAGTGTGCTTGATGTCACAGAAGGGCCGAGGCAGGCACGGCTGCCATGGGTTGAACTGCTCAGAGCAGACAGAGAGTCAAGGCCAGGCTAGGGCTTGGGGGGCGAGCACATGGGCCAGTAACTCCGACTGCAAGACCGGAAGACAGGGTTCAAAAGAGAAAGCTACTCCCAATGGGGAAATGCAGAATGGAAAAACGGAGGGGGGGGGAAATCATTCCTTCATTTGTTTTCATTTGTATGATATCTTTTTCCCAATTAAAAGAACCAAGGCCAGAAGTTTCAGAGTTAAGAAAAATTAGTATCATTTACCCATCTGAAATAACTATGACCTGGAAAAGTTACTCTCCAAAGCTTTGCAAACGAGGGACATTGCTATGGCGGTAAGATCCTAGTCCTCAGTGAGCTCTCCCAACTTGCTTTAACAGATCCACTAGCGAATGGGACGGAGCGAGACATTCCGGCTTCTACTCACCCCTTCACCTTCAGTTCTGTAAAAACATGTACTGCATTTAAATGGGTGACCGGGGGCTGCGGGGGGAGGGGGAGGGAAGCAGAGACGACTGCCAGTCAGTGTTGACAAAACTGGCTGAGAAAGGCCAAGGCCATGGGCTGAGAGAGGGGAAGAAGGGTTAAGGAGCGGAACCTTTTTGGTTGTGGTGCCAACTTTGGGGCCACAACCAAAAAGGTTCAGCTCCCTAAGTTGAATCTCAGGTTCCCACTTGAGATTCGTCCCACCTCTTCCCTTCCCCCCTTGAAGAAGATGCTGAAGACCAAACTCTTTCAGGAAGAGGTCCTTCCCCCGAGACAGCTGTGGGATTTGCATTCACCTTATACTCAGGGGTCCCCAACCTCCAGGGTTTCGGCCTGGTGGCGGTCCGTGGACTTCCTTGAACTGGGCCATGGACACAGATCTCTGCCCCTCCACGCACGCACAGTGGGCGTGTCGCGCTCACGGGTGGGCGTGTCACGCTTGTGCACATGCACGCATGCATGACACACCCCTCTGCAAAGCGCGACACGCCCCTCTGCAAGCACGACACACCCACCAGCGAGCGTGGGGGTGCCCCCACCCCCCCTGCACAAAGCCCATGCCCCATAACCAGTTTGCGGTCCAAAAAAGTTTGGGGGCCGCTGCCTTATATCACTATCATCTGGTTTTGGATTATCTGTTGGGGGTCTTAATTTTCATTTTTTAAAGTGACTGTGGTTTATTAGGGGTTTGTTGTTGTTGTTGTTCTGGGAGTTTGGAGTTAGTTTATATTCACTGTTTAACCACCCAGAGTAGTGCATGTCACTAAGTCGGGTGGTATATGAATGAATGAATGAATGAATGAATGAATGAATGAATGAATGAATGAATGAAGTTCTGACTCAGTACAAGTCACCTTCCAAAGCCTGACAATATGGGGGAGGAGGAGGTGTGCTGTGGATGAGGGACCATGAATCTCCTGGAGACACTACACACACACACACACACACACACACACACACACACCGTCCCCCTGTTCCTTCCATGTCTCATAGACACTTTTGTAAACTCAGGGGCCCCAATCCATCCAGGAAGGAGAAATACGAACAGGGCTGTTCCCATTATATCTTCTAGCTCCTGCGGGGGCTTCTCGGAAGTCTCACATCCTTGGAGATCTTGTCCGCCCATATCTAAGCATATGGCTATTCCCACAAGGTGTTTAATCCGTATCCCAAATGAGTGAAAATCCTCAGAAAATTCACAATTTCCCCAGGAACTCCACTCCTTATCCGCTAGGGAGGAAGTACGAGGCAGTGGCATAACCAGTCACCAGGGTCCCTGGGAGACTGATGGGAGTTACAGTCTAACAACAACTCCCATCACCCCCCCTGGATTAGCTTTTTGCTCCTGGGCCAATTCCTTCTTGAACCCCAAACCCTTTCCTCCAAAGCAGCAGATAATCACACAGAGAGGAAAACAGACAATGTCTACAGTGGGAGGATTTTCATCCCCTGGTGAATAACAACAATATTTGGGGTGTGGGTGCGTGAGTGGGAGGATCTGAATCCGGGTCTGATCGCCTCCCCTCCTGCCACCCCCCCCCCATGGTCCTGATCTAAACCAGGCCACCCCATAGATGTCATTGAGAAAAACAAGATCAGAGAATCCAACCACAAAACCCTCCTTTTGGATCTTATTTGCACCCCCAATTCCCAGTAAATTATCCGGGATCGCTTCCCTTTAACAAGAAGCCGCATGCTCAGTGGTTAAACTGCTGTACTGCAGCCCAAACCTTCCTCATGTCCCTGGCTGAATCCCAGGGAGCCGGCTTGAGGTTCACTCAGCCTTCAGTCCTTCTGAGATTGCTAATTAAGTGCCCAGCCTGCTTGCGGGGAGTGTGGTAGCCTCCATGATTACATCGCAAACCACCCAGAGAGTGTTTTAAGGACTCTAGGGAAGTATATAAGCAGCGCCGTTTTCTTTTATACACCTTTTTGGGGGGTGTTGCTTGGGCTCTTTCGAGGGTATACTTTAGTCTGGATTAAGTTGTGCAGGTTGAGAGAGGCACCCATGCCAAGGGTCTCCGAAGAGGTGCAGTACGTTCCTTTGGTGATCCATCACTCCCAGAATCCCACGGCCAGTAGTATTTTGGGAGCTGTAGTCCATAAAAGACACCCCCACACCCCCAATCTCTCCCATGCCTTGAAACCAGGGATTTGTTCCAGTGGCCTGCTTTGCACCAGGTTTACAGCTCCAGAGGAAGATTCAGCCGAAACTTAAACTTCCTGGAGCTGAAAGCAAGGGTTGTCTTTTATTTCATGTTCGTTCCCTTCCAGGCAACAGAAGGTTCATGCGTGCCTGTTTGACTGCGCGTCGAGAAAGACCTGGTTGAAGGAGAGGCTGAAAGATCGGTGGCCATACAATGGTGGCTGGCCAGACAGCCTGTAATAGGTTTGATTCTTCTCTTTCTAATCTCCAGGCCGGCTTGTCAATCCCCCATTCTTTCCCATCGGCTGCCGGCTGTCTCTGAGTGACAGGCAAGCCTTCCCCAGGCACCGGGGCCCTGTCGCAACCGCGCCGATGCTATCGCTGGGGCACAAAAGCCCGGGAAATGTCAGCGTGTTATCAAGGCGCCCGGACCGCCGCAGGGATGTGCCGAAGTGGGAGGGCCACTCTCCTCTTAGGGGGGCCATTGTCCGACTGATGGAGAAAGCAACTTGCAGGCGAAGGTGGGTACAGTATGTGTACACACACACACACACACACACACCGAGAGAGAGAGGGTCATAGAAAGCTGATAAAGGGTGAAGACCTAAGCATGGAGGTAGAGGGCTGCTGGGGTGGCGTTAAGAGGTGGGGAGATACCTTCTCCCCTTGTGATGGAGAAATTCATTAACTAATTCTTAGATTTCTATCCTGCTTTTCCTCCAAATGAGCTCAAGGCTCCCTATTTATCGATTCATTTAAAATATTTTTATCCCACCTTTCTCCTGAAAAAGAACCCAAGGCAGCTTGCATCACTAGAAAGACAACAGGCAGAAGCTAAAAACAGCAGATATGCAACTCTTTAAAAAAATAATTAAATAAGTATTACATCAAAAAACAGTCATGAAATCAATATTAAAACACATTTAAAACAACTGAGTGCAACCATTCATTTAAAAAACCTTCTCAGACCACCAGCGATTTGAGGGAACGTTCGGGTCTCTCGGCTTTATCCTCAGAGGCAAATCATGTCAGAGAGACTCCATAGCTGGAGAAAGATTTGAACTCAGGTTTCCTAAGCCTTGCTCCAGCACTCTGCCCACCACACCACGCCGGATCCAGGAGTACAGCCGGGATTTGTGGGGATCTCCTCTGGAAGCTGGTCTATGGTGGGTCCGGATCAGGCCCATGGAGGAGTTATCGCCGGTGCAACCCCAGAGCAAAAGATCAGGGTCTCTGCGTTAGATCTAGACGTCTGAGCAACAACACAGATTTGCTTGCCATGATTTTCCCAGTGCCTGGACAGGTTTGTTACTTCCCCACCCCTGACTACAGTTCCCAGAATCCCCCAGCCATCCAAAAGGACCTGTACTCCAGAAACAATCCAGTTTCTGAACTCTACGGTTTTCTGCTTCTCCAGATATACGCTGCTGCTGTTCCAGCCATCCTTGAGGTGGACCTATCTTCCCGGATACCTCTTCCTCCAAGGAAGCCATTGCAAGAAAAGTTACTTTTTTTGGATTACCGGTCTCAGATTCCCCTTCTCTCCAGCGATCTCGGTTGCGGGCCACCTCCCAAAGGGCAATTTTCCTCCCAAATCCCAGTCCTTCTGGGAGATTTATCCAGAATACGGCTTAAGGGCTGGCTCTTACTCCCTGTCCCACTGGACGGCTTCCCCGAATCGGCCTGGAGCCCCAAGGATCCCCAGCAGGCCTGCAAGAAAGACCAGCGCTTCCTCGTGAGAATCTGAGGCACTTCCCACACATCTTACCTGTCAATGATGACGGGATCAGAGGGCGTTTCATTACGGTTCCCGCAGCTTTTTTTGTCACAACAACGACTAAAAGAATGAGAGAGAGAGAATTGTTGGGAGTTTGATTGGGGATTTATTTGTTTTGCAACCTCGCATGCTGCTTTGGGTAGGTTTGGCTAGGAGGGACCTTTCTGGGCTGAGGGGACTGTCAATCAATTCTGCAGTAACCAATCATTTCCTTCCTGCCCCTTTCAAAGGGACCCACCCACCTCTTTGCTCAGTGCTTTTTTCCTTCTTTTGCATCTGTTGAAGTCTGCTGCTGAAAGCAATGATGTTTTGTCAGTTTGCTGTTTGTTCTGTTGGTCTGCCAGTAAACGCAACCTTTCATTATTTCTCCTACTAATGTCTCAGAATGAGTTATGGAGATGGCAAGTGCCCGCTAGTGAGAAAGACGGGTGTACTAATCTGAGGAATTTGTAACTAATCTGCTGTGAATTTCTGCAGATACAGGAATTTAACCAAAATTCAAAACTGCAGTAAGACAGGCCATCAGGAAGGGAAACGGAGGCCATGAGTGTCTGGGGAGCCTTCAGTTCCCCTTCTGCTCAACATCAGCACAAATTTTACCAAACCTTTCTGTTTTCTTTTTTGTCTTCCAAAAAAGGAGCAAAGAGAAGGATTGCGGTAGGTAGATTCAGGTACCTTCAAAGGAGAGGATTCAATCAGTGGTTGGAAAAGTTACTTTTTTGCACTGGAATTTCCAGAGTCTTCCAAGCTCTGAATTTTGTATACGGGCGGTCCAATCCTAGACCCAGATATTCCCAGGCAGAAGTCCCTTAAGTGAGTGTCCCATTTAATGTTCGACTGCCACCCCTTGCTTTTGAGGTTTCAGATCAATCCTCACCGACTCCCTCTCTGTGCGACTGTGAAAATCATCCATGTTTTACACACAAGAGATATCGCCACTGTAATATATTGCTGTTGTTTTGTAAACTCCTCAGGACAGAAGCTAGTTCTTCATTTCATCCTCTTACGCTGAGCCACATGGGTGACTCTAGATTTTTTTTTTTTGGGGGGGGGAGGCAGTTTGGCAAAGATGACTGCAATATTCCCCCTTCCTTGAGTGGCTCCTCTCCTTTTTGTACAGAAGGCAGGGAAAGTTACTTTTTTGTGGACTGGGATTCAGACAGCTGTAGTCCAAAACAGTAACTTTCCCTCTTGCCACGGTCACCCTTTGCTTGCTCTGACTTTCTCTGGGCCAGATCCTGAGTCGTGCCCAGAGGTGGAGAGCACCGCACACGGGATGGTGCTGCTGCGTCTTACTGTCAGTCCAGGTAACGCGCTCGAAGGGGGTGCACACAAAGCAACAGAAAGGAAGAGACAGTGCAAGAAGAGGTGGCCAGCGGCCTCTATCCGGCTCAGGTGGCCGGGTGGGTGTCCAGAAATCCTGATTCCCAACACCGGACCCATTGCACAGTGCCATGGATCGGAGAAAGACCCACCAAGGTCAAGGGTGTCCCAGCCCTGCACTCCTCTCTGTCTGGTATCACTGACGACTAGGACTCGATCATGACTCTACAGGATTTTTCATTTCAAGAGGGAATACTGAGAATTCCCGCTATATTTCAGAGGAGGGCACTAGAGCACTCTAAGAGACCACGCTCGCTCTTTCGCTAACGTGCAATTCCCAGGAGCTGGAAGACTTTTGTCATAGGGCGAGCGTTTTTCCTGTGCTCCTGGGGGGCTTCTCCTTCAAGCCAGAACAACGCCGAAACGGCCTTTTCCCTGCGTGAACCATCGTTCCATTCTCCAAAAAGGAGAGTGATTGGTATTATGGACTAAACCGGTGGGAGGTTTTGGAGAGCAGTGTCACCCACTTTTGTCATCCCAAAGTATATATATTTTTTTATTTTTCAAAAATAAACAACTGAATTTAGCACTAGATCACCTTATGGCTACATGGATGTACAGGTTTAGCACTAGTTTGCCTCTGCACGGACCAAGGAGAGGAGAGTGTGACACATCAGTATGAAAGAGAAATGGCTCTTGACAAATGACAGGGATCTAATGTGTTTCTGCAGTATGTGTCTGTCACGGGGAACGCTGGAAAACAGTTCCATTTCCCTAGTGCCCCGCGATGTTTTAATGAGCCCACCGGCTTCGCCATGAACCCTATCGGGAGAACCAGGGATCGGCAGAGGGCGGGATCAAGAGAACCGGGGCGGTGGGCTGTGACACAGATCAAAGCGCATTAGATTGAAGGACCACGGTGGACACGGACAGTGGAAGAGTCCACAGTCCACAGTGTGATTATCAAAGCCAATTTTACCAATGTGTAAAACAGGCTGCGAATCAAGTCACAGGAAAGCCGAACTGTTCCGGTCCAGCTTGCCAGGGGAGCTACAGATTGGCCTCTATGGCCACGGTGCAACCTCTTCTCACACAAGAAGACGGGGAAGGGTTTTAAAAGGAATGGTCAGTCTAGTAGCCGTGTCTGGCTTGCGAGCCTCCCCTGGCACCCCCCCCCCCCCCAGCGGCCGCTGTCAAAAGATGATGCCATTTTAAAGAAGCGGGACAGGCAGGCCTCTTCCGACGTCCACACGAGCAGCGCTTTGGAAAGTGGGGTTTTGCTTTCCGGCGACCACTTCCCAGAATCCCGCAGTCAGCACAGCCGGCCAGTGGCGGGATTCTGAGAGTCCCCGTTCAAAAAAATTAAAATGTCCAAGCTCTGCCTGGGAGTGTGGCTGTTCTTAGCAAAGAATGGGAACATTTCAAAATGGATCCTTGGGTGATGGTGAGGCAGGGCAGAAGAACGTGCCTCAGTTTTTGGATGCTTCCTACTAAAAAATGATGAAGTCACTACTCATTTTCAACTGTTTTTTTTTTTTTAACAATTCTACCAGGTGCCATTGCTGGTGTTCAGGGTCATTAACAAGCAACGGGGTAAACGACCGAGAGCTTTAAATCCACCCTGTTGACAATGAGAGAGTTGTTATTCCACCCACGGTTCCGTCAACAAGACCCGAGGGCGTCTGAGCGGCTTTGCCTGAACCCCCCCCGCCCACCTTTGCTCCCCCCCACCATCTATTCCCTGAGCCCCCAGGATCGTTAGTATGGTTCCTGGAGATCAATTAGCTCTGAAAGTTGACTCCAAGGCAGCCGCGCTAATTTGCACAAACACTGAGCTGGAGTGTCGTAAACAAGGCAGGCGTTAATGGGGCACCAGGGAGACCTCAGGGTGAGGAGCGGAGGAAGGCCTTCCCCCCCCCACGCATGGCCCATCCAGCTGGCCTGGGACCTGGAGCTCGGCAGAGGGCGGGAGGCCCTGCAGCAGACGTGGCCGCTATGGTGGCGAACCAGGCAGCGCCGGGTTGTTGGGCAACGGCCAAGACGGGGAAGGTGGATCCTGAAAGAAAGCTACGGGCACGCCATGGGGTCCCCAGGCACAAATGAGGAAAGCGGATGAAAAGGGGCTGAACGGGGTGGTCTTAGACTCCATCGCATGTCCCCGAGTCCTGCCATACCAAGGGATGCAAGTTAATGTCCCCGTTGCTAGTTACAACACGAGTTAACCAATGGAACCCATTGTCAAAGGGTCAGCCATCCCTGAACAGAGGTCCTGCTGGCCCAATGAACCTGCCCTAGCAATGGGGGTGGGTGGGGTGGGGTCTACCAGCTCGACTCTGGTGAGGAAACGATGGCCCTTTCATAATGACCCGGTTTGAGGTCTCTGCTTTCGCTCACATAGAGCCAAGTGCCTTTGTATGACGGCAGTTCTGAAGGTCTTATGCTTTTTTAAATAGTTCCACAAGTTATCTTGTCATCCTTTTGCTTGCTGTGAACCACCCAGAATAGTGCAATGCACTAATAGGGAGCTATATAAACCTAATGATACAAACAAACAAACAAATACCTGCACAGCTGAATCAACCTTGAGGGTTGCGGTACAGAAACAACGTTTCCCATCTATGACTCAAAGGAACAGTGTTTCTGGCTATGTAAAGGCCAAGACCTCTCCTTCACCCGTAAATGGACCTAAGGGTGCAATCCTATGGAGATGCAGCTCGCATTTTGGAAAGCTCATGGAATGGCCGGGTATTTTTTTTTTTTTTTTTTTTTTTTTTGGCCATCAGAGGATGTATGGGAAATCGTGAATCAGCTAGACTCTGTTCCATACCCAATCTGGACCTTTTCAGTCCAGCAGTAAAGGCTACCCTTAGCCTCTGTGCAGCAAGGTCAGAAGACCAGCCGTCGTAAGATCGAATCCACGCGACGGAGTGAGCTCCCATCGCTTGTCCCAGCTCTTGCCAACCTAGCAGTTCGAAAGCAGGTAAATGATAGTAGATAAGTAGGTACCACCTTGGTGGGAAGGTCACGGCTTTCTGTGTCTAGTTGCGCTGGCCACGTGACCACGGAAACTGTCTTGGGACAAACACTGGCTCTACGGCTTGGAGACGGGGATGAGAGTCGGACATGACTGGGCTAAATGTCAAGGGGAACCTTTACCTAACTCCTGTATGCACAGAAGAGTCACTTTAAAGGGAGAGGATCTATCCTGTCCAGCACAATGAGATGTGATCCTTTCTCACCGTCTGATCACACCCTATGCCTCTTTAACAGATACTTCACCTTGAACCCCTTTCCTGGGAGAAAGGTGAGATGTAAATAATGATAAATATATAAACACACATGCACCCAAGCCAGGGGCCATCCTTCCTGCCCTGTAGCAGCAAAATCCATTAAACCATCCAAGCACAGTGCAAAAAGCTGCCTCCTAATGCTACACACTTTGAGAATATATATACATACCAATTTATTTATTTGAAATCCAGAGAAATCTAAAGCATTTTGTATCCATTTCCATGGGGTGACCCCGGGCAAGTATTAAAACCAAAGAAGAGAAAGCCTTCCTCCCCAAAGGTGCTTCGTTTTGGCCCAGGGGAAGATTGCTATGGGACCTCGGTTGCTTCTTTCAAAGCCCACCCCATGGTCCAAGCCTCTCTCCCTGGTGGCCAGTGATATCTCTGATCACTGACTGGAGTGAACATTCACTTTTATCTCTGATCACTGACTGGAGATATCAGCAGGGCATTCCTTAGCTGACTGTGCGCTTGCTGATGCCGATGCTAGAAGGTCTAGCTTCACCCCGGCCCCAAAATATTCCCCAACCCCTCTTTGATAACACGCCTGTCCCCCTCACAAGCTTCAGGATTTGTCTTTCACAGGGGTGCAGCTCCACCTTTAAACTCCGACTGCCATTTTTTGCCACCTTCTCTGATAATCCTTCTCATGCCAAAACAACCCAAACACAGCGATTGGTTTCAAATCCTCTCCTTAAATGTTAGCAAACTATCCTTAGCTCCAGGTTCTTTCATGAAATGTCCGGGAAGGGTACATGCTAGATTAGAAATAATTCAGATCTCCCTCTTATTAAGTAAGAGGGTGGGTGGGCTTGGCAGTGGAACTCACCTGCACATGATTTCATGTGTCAACAACACTCGGCACATCTCCGGGTTCTTGTCTTGACCTTCATAAATTATTGCCTGGAAACGGAGTGGGGACAAAAAAAGTATGATTTTTATGGTGAGCCAAGGTATTAGGCAGCTCAGCACACCCTTCATTTTTCACAGGCCAAGCAAACATTTGGTGAATAAACAAACAAACAAAAGGAATTTTAAAATTAATAAATTTAAGCCCCACCTCTAATTGGTGGAAATTTTACCCAGTCACTCCTCTAGTTTCTAAGTTTCCACCAGCTTCCAAACAAACAATCCTAAGGATAATATCTAACTTATTTGCGAAGGATTTCATGTCCAGGATCCGATGGTTGTTGTAGGTTTTCCGGGCTGTTCCGGCCATGTTCCAGAGGTTTTTCTTCCTAACGTTTCGCCAGTCTCTGCAGCCGGCAGCTTAAGAGGACAGGTGTCAGAACTCTGTCTGTGTTCTGGTGAAAAGGCTGAGATACAAATATTCAACTATCCCACACACTACACCAGAACGCAGACAGAATTCCTATTCCAGTCCTCTGAAGATGCCCATGGCCACAGAGACTGGGGAAAAGTTAGGAAGAAGAACTTCCAGAACATGGCCAAACAGGCCGGAAAACCTACAACAACCATCAAATATCTAAGGGTTTATCAGGCCTGAATTGCTTGCTGCCAATGTTTTGCAATTCCAAAATGATCCTTTATTGAAAGGGCGCTTTGAGCCTTACCGGAAGCGCTCTGCCCCAGGTATGAAGGCAGCTGCACTCTCGGCTGGTCATGGCAGCTGCGAGTTACTTTAGAGCACTGGGACAATTAGTTACAAAGTTACTCTTGGTGTTTAGGTAACACTCACGTAACTCTGGAATGAGGAGTAACAGCAATTTTTTTTTCAATTTTCCATTAAAATGGCATTTTAGAGGCATCTTGACAATTGGTTTTCCAGTTTTATGACATTCTTAACTGACAAGATGTGTAATTCTTCCATTTTTCTTTTTGTATTTTTATATTTTCAAGGTGCAATATCAGAAATGGCCACTAGAGGGAAACAAAGAATATTTCCATATACATTTTTCTGGCCTGTTGGAAATTGCAATGCCAAAAAATAATATTAATAATAATAAGGCCACATTAAAACATAACAGTTAGTCTTTAAGGTGTCACCGCGGTCTTGTCTTTCATATTTGTTCTTTTGTTTTTTAATTATTTTTAATTTTTATTTTGTTTTTACTTATAACCTATAATAAAATGGAACACAACAAGCTTGAGTAATCAGAGATGTGACAATAGCTGCCAAGGAGTAACTAAAAGTAATGAGCAATAATGCAGTGTGCCCCTTTAAAATGCAATGTTTTGAGTCCTGGCTGATCAATTAGGTTATCAACAGTTTCTGCAGCTTATAAACACTCACCCTACAAGCAGGATTGGTTCAGATATAATCTCATTTAAATGATAAAACCCAATCCCACTTAAATGTTAGACTCCCTTTAGAACAGGGCACATGGGGAATGGATATCTTGTTTTCTAGCTGTTCATATTAATTACATTGAAAACAAGGAGCACATCCTGCGTGCAGCTTGTTTTTAAGAAAAATTTCAGCATCCGGGATGATCAAACAGGTGAGAACCACGTTTTGTGGCCTGTGTGTGACGTGTCTCTTATCCTTGTTCAAAAGTAAAAACTTATTTTATTTATTTATTTATTTTATTTTATTTATATGCCGCCCACTCCACCCAAAGGTCTCTCGGCGGCTTACAACAATTGCAGTCTTTATTGTCAAAGTGCAAAGTGAACTTCTCCCTAAGAAAGCAGAAATCACTCCCGCACAACAGAATGCTCTGCAGGCCAGTGGTCTTAACCTGGGCTCAAACATTCTTATCAATATATCGTATGGATTTTTAGTTTCACAGAATCCTAGAATCCTGGAGTTGGAAGGGGCCCCTTAAGGCCATCGGATCCAAACCCCCGCTCAAGGCAGGAATCCAAATCAACGCAGCTCTCAGACAGACGGATGTCTAAATTTCTCTTGAAGGCTTCCCGTGTTGGAGCATTCACTCATCACCTCTCGAGGCGTTGTACTACTCTATCAGTTAAGAAGTTTTTCCTGATATTCCACTGAAATCTAGATTCCTTTCACTCTGCACTCTGGGACGATTGAGAACAGATCCTTCTTGCACGTAGTTTTACTGACTTTTTCAAACAGATTTATCAAACTAATTAGTTGAATAAACATGGTAGTTGTTGATAAGATTGTTAAAGGAACACACACATAGATCCACCATCTCTCTTCACTGCTCTCCCCTGGAATGACTCTCATTTAGGAGCCTAGGGTTTTAAATTTCATACAATGTACCCCAAATAACGAAGCCTTTCCCTCCATCCCAGGATGGTGGACCCCCCCCCACACACACACCTTGTTTCTCTGCCAGCTGGCCCTTTGGCCATTCCATGCCTGGGCTATTCCACAAGACAGGACATTTTTCCATTCAAAACATTTCCTGGGGCCCAGAAAACTAGCATCTCAGAGAGAATATTAAAGCTACCCTCCTTCTCACTCTTATGTTCTTCGTCTATGCTAATGGATGGCAACGAAGAAGAGAAAAATGACAACAGAGGTGGTCGTTTTGAGACCTGGCACAAAGCCATCTGCCCGACGTGAGCCCCAGCTTCTCCGGAATCAACCGGCGATAGTCTTGCTTCTCTGCGCAGGGCCTGGCCCTTCCTTGGTGCTAAGTTGGTATTAAAGAGCAGAGGCGTCCCATGTGCCCGTTAGAATCATTAATGGTGTTGATTAATTATGGTGTAGCATAATGAAGTGTTTTCTTGTTATTTGCAAGAGAGGGGTTGTTTCCCTCTGGTTTTCTGCCTCGAGGGGAAAAGGTTAGAAGCACAACAAACTCTGCTCCTCTTGCACGGATCCTGCCTGGCTCAGCTTACAGGGGCAAAAAAAAAGCACGGATTGTTAGTGATGCCTGGTCTGGGGTAGCTTGAGGGCTGTGGACTGTGCCCTGGCGTCTTCTAGGCTATACTACTGCAGCAAGCTTTATGTGGGGCTGCCATCCCCGTTGGTCCCAGCGGCTGCAGCTGCGCAACATAAAACAGAGCGAGTTTGGTAACAAGAGGAGCAACGTACTCCCTCTCAATAGACAGAACCGGAGTCTATTTAGTCCTGCATCATAGCAAGGTTTTAGCTAGTCCTGCATTTAGTCCACACACAGAGCTGCTTCTGGGAAGGCCACCAGTGGAACAGACACACGATGGCACCCTTCTATGGGTGCCCTCCAGTAACGAATAGGCTGGTACTGGATCTAGCCCTTTTGGCCCGTAACCAGCAGAGTCCCCTCTTCTCCAAATCCATCCAGTTCCTCTTGAAATCTGTCCAGTTTGGGGGGGGGGGACATTGCCACTTCCTGTGGAAAGGAGTTCCACAGTTTAAATACGTGCTGGGAAAGCATGCTTCCTTTTCTGATTCCTGAATCTCCCACTGCTCATTTCGGCCAATGACCCTTCCAACACATTCCCCCCCCCGCTCGGTTTCTCATGCTAAGAGGAGAGAGAAGGCTTTGCTTGTATCCTTTCCTCTGTCTGGACATGGCTCAAATTTCACGGGGTCACCCCGCTTCTCCCCCTGCAACAGGTTGCTGTGATTCTTTACCTCTTTTAGATTCCAAGAACGTAAAAGTCTATGAAGCCTCTTGCACTCTCCCTGTCCTGGTTTACTCAAGGCACAAATCTGGCCCCATCTTTACGAAGGCCACTGGACCTCCCCCACGGCTGCCCGGATGGCCACCCAGAGAATTCTAAGCCTTTCCCTTCAATGTACGGAGACAGCAGGAGTGGTTGTGCCAGTTGGGGGATTCTGGGAGCTGTAGTCCCTCCCAGCAAGCTCTTCTCCAAGCTCCGACCGACAGGCACATAGTATTCCACCTCCATAGGTGTTTGGTTATGTCTAATCAACAACCGTGTGTTATCAAGTCATTTCTGGTTTATGGACACCCATTTCAGGGTTTCCCAGGTAGAGAAGACTCAGACGTGGTTTCCCCTTCCCTTCTTTTGGCAATGCCCTGGGACTCCGGTGCAGCTGGCCCAAGGCCACCCAGGCTGGCTTTTCTCCCAGGAGGGACAGTCAGGAATGGAACCCCCAACCTCTGGCTTTGCAGGCAGAGACCTGAACCCCTGCATTATCCAGCCAACTTCAAAGTCATGGCCTGCCAAGTCACTTCTGAATTATGGCAACTATTTTTCAGGATTTTCCAGGCAGAGAAGACTCAGAAAGTGGTTTCCCGTTCCTTTCTTCTGTGGCAGGTGGTGGGAGGCACGTATACCACTGGGACTCTCAGGAGGCCCAGCGGGGAATCGAACTCTGGCTCTGCATCCAGAGACCTAAATCCCAGAGCTCTTGATCCCCCTTTGGCGTCGTCTCCGCTAGGGCCATCCAGGCGGAGGCATTCCTCCCCCCCAGCCCATCCCACCGCCAGCACTGGACGCCGTTACCTGCTTGGACATGGAGTCAATCAGCCGGACGTAGAGGTCCTGCTCCGTCCGAAGCCCTGAGGGGAAGCAGAGGGAGAGGAGACGTCGGTGATGGGGAAAGCGGCTCTTTTTTCCCCCTTGGATCACAGCTCCTAGAATAGGTCAGCCAGCTGGGGAATTCTGCCAGACGCGACCCATCAGATGAACCCCTCTGGCCTCCGGGATCCCCCTAGATCCCAGGGATGTTTGGGCTTGAATCCCAAGTCTGAGTCCCTATTAAAAACGAGTCCCCCCCCCCAAAGGGAAAAAAGGGAGGAGGCGGGTAGGTTCCGAGTTTTGAGCCGAGTCGGGGGGAAAAACCCAAAGCAAGTCAGAGTTGAGCTCAAGTCTGAGTCCCTATTAAAAACAAGTTCCCCTCCCAGGGATAAAAAGGGAGGAGGTGGGTAGGCTCCGAGTTTTGAGCCGAGTCGGGGGGAGGGGGGAAACCCAAGACAAGTCAGAGTTGAGTCACTGGTGTGACGGGAAAGGCGAAGAAGTCTATCAGTAACAGTAGGGATGCTAAGAGGGGGAATCTGTTGGTTGTTCCCCTTCTATTTATCCCCCGATTGCTTTGGCCCTGTGAAGGGTAAGCTCATTTTATCCCACTTCCACTGACCTGGCTTCCCTCCTCTACCTACCTACCAAGAAGACCAGAAACGACCCTTCACTGTGGATTGTCCTCCCCAGATGGTACCCTCCAGATATGCTGGACAGCACCTCCCACCACTCATTCTCCTGGATGGGGATGATGGGACCTAGAGTCTGCCACCTCTATAGGGTTAGGGGTCAGAGAAGGATGGTGCTCAGCGTAAAATGAGATTCCTGCAGCTCCACCATGTTGCGCGGTTCCCAAGAGGGTAAGGGTTCCTGGGAAAAGTCCCTTCTGCTTTCCCCAACCCTCTCCAGGTTCCCAGGAAATGAAAGAAGGTTAATTTGTTTGAGAAGCTTAACGGGGATCCTTAGCCTTCGGTGGTGGTGGAGATCAACTTTGGGGCCAAATGAAGGACAGTCTGGTTTTAATTTACGTGAACCCTACAGAGTTTCTTTGACAAGGCCAGCAAAGAGATTATAAGAAGAATTAGAAGAGAGATAAACCCGAACGTCTCTCACCCACCGGTTCCCTCCATCATTGCAATACAGAATGTGAAAGATGACGGTCCAAGTATCCCACTGCAAGGGTCCTGAGCCCCCTTCTTCCACCCTACAGCCCCTGACACCAGAGACAAGGCACAGCCTCTGAGACCCACCCGTGTCCTTGTCGGCACCCAGGGAGATCTTCCCCTTGGGGCCAACAAAGGAATTTAATTTAGCACCAAAGGGACTTATGCTCACCGTTGCTGTACAGCAGTTGTAACCGGTAGTGAATGCCGTTGTTGGTTTTCTCTCCATTCTGCTCCTGAAAGAAGGTGGGAAGCCGATGAAAACCTGTCTCGTGACCCCCGTCTCTCTACGGTCCGGGGACGCCCCAATCCAAAAATCCCAGCTCAGCCTTAAAAAATCTCCCCGGGCAACCTTGGCTGAGTTACTCCCTCCCTCTACTCAGACGTCGCTCTCATGGTACCGACTTACTCCCAGGAATGTGGCCTGGAAGCACGGAGCCACTGCTGCCATCGAGTGATGCTGTGAAATCACAACCGCGGTAATCTGCTGGCCACTTACTTTGTCCTTCTCCACAAAATCAATGAAGGAGGTCCTCTCGATCTCCACGGGTTGCCCGTGCCGGTCGTACATGGCCAGGACGAAGTGGAAGAAGTTGGACTTCCTGAGGTTGGAAGGCGGCTGCTTCTCAAAGTGAGCCCGAGCCAGCCCAACACCGCTGGGAGGGAAAGAGGATAAAAAGAAGGGTGTTAGCTATACGGGGGGGCGGAGGGTGGGGAGCTGATTGGTTCATCGTACCTCCAGCAGCGAGCTTGTGGGGGTAAGGATCCCTCCCCAGACTCTAAGACCTGGGTGGCTGTGGCCACCTGCAAAATGAATCAACAGGACAAGACACACACAAGACCTTCGGAGATCGGTGTCGTACTGGTTACAACCTGTAGCCAGAATGTCAGGGGGCATCCCGTGACATTTGGCCCTAAAGTATGATGACACCTGGGTTAGATTCAAAAGCCAAAACGAATGGAGTGCAACAATTCAGTTCTAGGAGCTCAGCTCTGATCTTATCCCATTTGAGGAGGTTGGGGGGGTGTTTGATGGAAAAAGGTATGGGCACAGCCAGGAGATAGTGGGAATGCTGTAGACGTAGTATATCTTGACTTCAGCAGAGCTTTTGAGAAAGGGCCCCATGATATACTGATTATCAGGCTCGTGGGTGGTGGGCTGGACAGAACAAGTGTAGATACGCAGTTGGTTACAGAATTGTACTCTGAGAGTGCCTATCAATGACTCCTTCTCCCATTGGGAGAAGGTCACAAGTGGGGTACCATGAGGCTCAACCCCGGGACTGGTGCTCGCCAACATTTATATCAATGACTTGGATGAGATGGTGCAGGAAATGCTTGCCAAATTTGTACATGTCACAAAATTGGGTGGAATAGCATTAGTACCCTGGAAGACAGAAACAAAATTCAAAAAGATCTGGATAGGTTTGAGCACTAGGCTGATAAGAACAGAATGAAATTCAACAGGCATAAGTGCAAAGTTCGACACCGAGGAGGGAAAACCAAATGCACAGTTCCAAGATGGGGGATACCTGGCTCAGTCATGCTGCCAGTGAGAAGGATCTTGGGATTGTTGTAGATCACAAGATGAATATGAGCCAACAGTGTGATGTGGTTGCAAAACAAGGAAAATGTGATAACTTCTGCATTTATGGAAACATCATTTCCAAATCCTGTGAGGTGCTTACTAGTCTCCCTCTGTTCAGCATTGGTGAGGCTTCACCTAGAGTCTTGTGTCCAGTTCTGGACATCACATTTCAAGAAGAATGCTAACAATTTGGAGCAAGTTCAGAGGAGGGCAACAAGGATGATGATCAGGGGACTGGATATCAAGCCCTATCAGGAAAGACCAAAGGAACTGGGCATGTTTAGTCTCAAGAAAAGAAGACGGAGGGGAGATCCGATAGCACTTTTCAAATACTGTACTTGAAAGGCAACCATCAAGAGGAGGGGCAGGCTCCGTTCTCAATCATCCCCAAATGCAGACACATAATAATGGGATCAAGCTACAGGAAGTCAGATTTAGGCTGAATATCAAGAAAAAAAATAAACTGTTAAATTAACTGTTAGAGCAGCAGAACAATGGAACCCATGACCTCAGAGGGAAGTGGTGAGCGCTCCAACCCTGGAGGCCTTCAGGAGAATATTAGACAGTCATCCAGATATGCTTTGATTGCGTTCCTGCATCGAGCCGGGGGTTGGACTTGATGGCCTTAGAGGCTCCTTCCAACTCCATTATCCTCTGATTCTAAGATGCTAAGAGCATTCACCATCATAGCAGTACTAGAAAACCTCTTTTTCTACCCTGCTTTATCTAAAACAGAGAAGTCCTGGGAAAGTCAGACATTAGATACGTCAATTTGCAGGACTATGACTCCCAGTCCTGCCACTCTCTCCAGAATCTGGGCACGCTAGACTGGAAAAGTAACTTCTAGAGCTCTGGTCCTCCTCATCCGCTGGAGGAAAAAAATATAAAAGTTCTCGCTCGCTCAAAAAGATGGAAGGAGCGGGAGTGAGAGGGTCTTTGAAGCAACCCCGGGCCAGCGATGTGGCTGAGTTGATCTCTCGCATGGCATCAAAACGGTTGAAGCCTCGCCAGTTCTTTGGTCTAAAATTTTGCAACTCTAGAAGGATCAGGAAAGAGGAAAAGGAGATAAAATAAGCAAGGAACAGACATGCAGAGTTGTGCTTTCTGGAGTGCTGCAGCATTTGGGGGGGGGGGCTGAATTTCAACACGTGAGATGTGGCACCTAGTAGTCCTCACTGAGTTATGAATGTCCCGGAAGGACCTGGGGCCTCTCTCTCTCTCTCTCTCTCTCTCTCTCTGTGCGACTGACTCCACCGATCTCCTCCGGTGATAAAAGTGGGAAGGAACAGACCTGTGTAGGCTGCCCAGAGGAAAGACAGGATAAGACGTAGCTGATCCATCAGCAAAGAATGAAGCTCACACAGTCAGTCTGGAACCCATGGTCTGGATTGTTCGTGTTTTTAACCCTTTCCAAAATGATCTGGAAGGTCTCCGGCAGTGAAGACAAGATTTCTCCTCCCCCCCCCCCTTAGACTGAAGATTCAGCCACAGGATTGTGAGCAGTCCACAAGGGGTTTGTCTTTTCTTACAAACACAACCCAGGAGAACATCAGCCCTAACATCTGACGCCAAACATCTTCGCTTTCTACTTTATTCATGGCACAGAAAAAGCTGAGCGGGTGGTTGGCTCTCCACTATATGAGCCCGGACTCACGCTTGCCTGGGCAAGGGGAAAGGTGCACAAATTAACACAAGGAGGGTGTTAATTAACACAAACGCCCATTAACCTATTCTGCTCCTAGCACCAACATGAATGCATCTGTCACTTCTGCTTTCTCTTGCACTCCATTTTTCAAAATGTCTTGTTGATCCGACCTTTTTTTTAAAAAAAATATCTCTATTTTGGTAAGTTCTTATGAGAATCAAAATCAACTTACTCCATACAGGGGATCTGGAATCTAGTTTTTAGGGGCCATGCGCTCAAAGTCCCACTGGCTGGGTAAGCAAAAGTCAGGGTCACTTCCTCGCATGCAAACTTTTCGGATCTCGTGATCTTTTCGCTCACGTTTACGAAGAAGCTGGCAGGAAAGCTTGAGCCAAATACGGTCTCTCTCTCCTGGCATGGCGTTCTTTCCAGGAACGCCTGGCAAAACAATGCCACCTGTCGGTCTTTTTGCCTACTACAGGAGGAGGATTCCTTCGGCTTTGGGATTGATGCCTGACTCAAACAAACAAAATAACGTATTCGCGAACGCTTTCAAGGCCGGGATCTAATGGTTGCTGTGGGGTTTTTGGGCTCTTTGGCCTTGTTCTGATGGTTGTTCTTCCTGACGTCTCGCCAGTCTCTGTGGCCATGGGCATCTTCAGAGGACTGGAGTAGGAACAGAGCATGGACAGAGTTCCTACTCCAGTCCTCTGAAGATGCCGGCCACAGAGAATGGTGAAACGTCAGGAAGAATAACCTTCAGAACACGGCCAAAGAGCCCGAAAAACCCACAACAACCAAACAAAATAACTATGCAAGACTAAGGTCACTCCATGATCACTGAAGATGGTGACAGCAGTCACGAAGTGGAAAGAAAGCGATGGCGAACCTCGACAGCATCTTAAAAAGGAGAGACATCACCTTGCCAACAAAGCTGGCAAAGCTATGCTCTTTCCAGGATCGATGTGTGGAAGTGAGAGCTGGACCATCAAGAAAGCTGACCGCCATAGGATTGGTGCTTTTGAACTGTGGTGCTGGAGGAGACTCTTGAGAGTCCCCTGGACTGCAAGGAGAACAAACCTCTCCATTCTGAAGGAAATCAGCCCTGAGTGCCCATTGGAAGGACAGATCCTGAAGCTGAGGCTCCAATCCTTTGGCCATCTCGTGAGAAGAGAAGACTCCCTGGAAAAGACCCTGATGTTGGGAAAGTGTGAAGGCAAGAGGAGAAGGGGAGGACATTTCTGTGCTTCTACTAAAGGGGAAAAAATAAATCTTACCAAAAATTCAGAACTCTGCCACAGAAAAGACACGGGGGGGGGGGCGGGGAAGTAACACATCAGATCTATCTTCTTATCCCTCCCCTCCCCTGTCTCCACTGTTTCAAATGAATTTCTACCTGGAATTTCCCCCCACTGTATTCCAGCAGCTCATGTGAATTTCAGTGCTGCTTGAACTATGCTCAAAGTGAGTGTCAAGCATATTGTTTGCCTTGACACATTTTTAGGTAACAATCTGATATATGCACAGCTGTAAATTTTAAACCATAAACCAAACAACTAATAACCAGGAGCAGGAGTAGAAATCTAACTGAAATACCAAAATATTCGGCTCCTCGTAACTTGGCAGAATGCATATGTACATATAGGGATGTCGTGGGAAGGAAAGGAGAGATGGTCCCCTAATTTGGAGAAACACAGCCCATAAATAAAACAAACAAATAAAGAAAAGAAAGGAAAGCTATTCAAGCTTTTTGACAAGGGAACAGATAGGACACATTTAGAGCCATCACAGAAAAGACCCTGCTCCTTCTGGGGATTATTCTAACCTCTAAAAAGAATGGTTTCTCAAATACTGTTGGTTTTTCATAAAACCTGGTCCGGGGGGGCCGCACTCATGGGAGAGAGCCGTTCTCTCCTGGAGATTTAAAATATAGACAATGAAATGTCCGAAGGGGGCGTCTGAATGGGCTCAGAAGAGAACCAGCCGTCAAGGCAGCTGTGTCGGATATGTAGAGATTGTCTTGGACTTTAATTCTCATCAGGCATAGCCAGTGGTGAGACATGATGGGAGTTGTAGTCCAGGACCCTGAGCTGCCTAACACCATCTTCCCAGAAGTGTATTTCGTTTGGTTTAACAGGGCTTCTTCCGATGCAGGCGGATGCAGGGAACCGCCGCTGCCGCCAAACCTCTGCGAGATCCAGGTGCCATGATCTCATGCTGGGATAATTTTTGAATCATGGGTTTCTGAAACTATTAACTTCATTTATAGCAAAAGCAGCTACGGGTCATTTCCTTTAGCACTTTAGCCGTCAGACATGGGACCTGCTATGATAGTGCCACCTTCATGAACATGGAGATTCAGACCTTCAGAACGGAGTCCACACAGACAGTCCTGGCTCTGAAGCAGATCAGTCAGAGATGGG